TAAAGTATGATAGAATACAATGATGTTATTTATTAAAAACTATGATACAATCTTATAATTATGTATCTTTTGTCTTTAATTGATCCTTTTGGGAAAGAAATTTATCTTCAACATTTATGAAATTTCCATGCATCAAATATATTTTTTATTCAATAGATTATATATCTGTTAATAGCTTTTTTTTTCAATATAATGTATGAAAATTTAAACATAAAATAAAAACAAAAAAATTCACGAACTGATTACTTGTGGGATTTCGTGTAAACATTATCTGTCATTGGATCAGTTGTGGGATGAAGTAATGATCTAGAATAATTTCCTATTATATTGATTTTTTTTGGTTCGTTGAACAAAAAATACAGGAATGCAGGTGAGATCTTTCACATACCTGAAATTTTTTTCAAAGATCTTTCTGCATACAACGGATGTTACTGTTATTACATCTTCATTCTGACAAATAAATCGTAGGGTGATTTAGTTAGATATTACTAGATTGTTGATGAATTTTCATTTAGATGGGATTCACTTATGATAATTTTCGAATAGTATAGTATTTCCATATATTTTCATGTGCATTCGGTTTTTTTATTTTAATGAAATTTATTGATCTTAAACAAGACTCATTTTTTCTGTACACTTTTTAACCTTACATTAGAATCTTTAAATCCATAAACTCTCTTTCAGTCTTATTTTTTATTTTAAAGTCTCACTTTAGTTGCTGATGGCTTATATGTAGATGTTTTAGACTATCCTTATTTTCAATTGCTTGTTACTGAAATTTTCTTTTCATAGTATCGTATAATAATCTTGTGTTTATCTCATTTACATATATTTCACACATTACATCCTGCATCATGTAAACATGCAGATTGTGATCATTAAGATATTATTTATCAATTTTTATATCTTGAAAGGTTTCAAAATTGATATTTAACAAATACGTCATGGTTTAGCGTTTTAGCGTTTTTTAGATAAGCTTAGCTTAGATTTGAGAGATCAGCTTAGAAAGATGTATCAAATTTAAATAATAAATTATTAGGTTTGAAAATTTTGACTCATGCTACATATATTCGTTTACCAAGGATATAATGCATGTAGATTAACTAACTTACCAGTTAAAATGAAGCTTGATAAAGCTTTACCACTATGGCTTATCAATACATCTAAATGATTCACAAGATTATTCATTATATGTCTGTGTTCATACTCTTCGATAGAAATATCATCAGAAGTTTTTCCTTTAATCATCAAGTTAAAGTAACCTAAATTTGCAAAAATATATTTAACTAAACTTCAAATTGTAATAGTATAGAGTTTAGCTTTACTTTACCCACAGAAAATCAGTTTTGATAACTCTAGACTTAAAAAAATCATGAATGACTTTGAATTTGAATTTTATTTTATTTTTGAATAAAAATTTAGGTTCTTACCAGATTGATAAATTAAAAAATCAGATAAATAGTGATTTTGACTTGAAATTCATAATAGTAGTTTAAAAAATTGAAGACAGTGAAGAATATAAAACTCTAATCAATCAATCAAATCTCTTACAAGAAATACCTAAGTGGATAGGAAGATAAAAACGATAAATATGTTTCACTAAATAACAATAAAAAGCCGATACTATAATTTTAATCTTCACTGAAACCTAATTAAAAATAAACAAAAAATTTGAAAAAAAGGACAAGGCTTTAAGAGAATCCCTGATATGAAGTTGATTCAGGTATTTAAAAAAAACTACGACAAAAATACTGAAAATTATATGAGATGAACGGATTGTTTACGTGTATCTCAAATAATTTTGAAGAATTTGGCATCAAAATGATAAAAATCATTATTGACGTGCGATTCATAGATTTTCATAGATTACGTGTGTCTAAAAAATTCTTCTACAATATAATTTAATCTTTGATTTGTCAAAAACATATATTCTGATTATGATAACAATATTATCAGCAAAAGCATTAGGTTGCAATGATACCAAAAATAATAATTCTGATTTATAAAAAATATGAAAAGATGCATATACTGTATTCTTAAAACTGATATTTAATTTAGTTTTAAGAAAAAAAATTATATTTATTCAATACTAATACATGTATCATATCAAGCATAAGAAAGAATTTGTCAACGTTGATGTGAATATATTATAATATCTCAAATAGGTAATTCTAAAATTGTAATTTATGATTGGATATTAAACTAAATCAAATCTGCATCTTATTGACCATTCATGGAAAAGTAACTACATTCGATTATATGATTAATATTTTATCCTTTTTTCTTCACATATATGCGAATATGGATTTAGTAAAATGCAAAATAAATAAATAAAGATTGAAAATGAAGAAATTTGATTATTCTGCATCTTTTAATCCACTTAAGTCAAAACATTTCTTTGAAAACATTTGAAAGACATGAGTATAATGTGCAGATGTTTTAGAGTTAAGTTTCTATATACCTGACAATGACAAATATCAAATTATTATATGATATGACATCTCTCAATATACACACAAGATCATCAAACATTTGAAATTTAAAATATTTTTTGAATCAGTTTCAAAGATGATGAATAATTTCATCAAAACTCAACTGTTTTGTACCCAAAAAAAATTTATACTTAATATCACATATGGCATGAATAGTCATAATTTAGAATTATTTTAATTTTAATTTTTTGAGATTAGATGCAAATATTTCATTGAGCACGCAAACATTCAATTTTTTTTAATGAAATGATAATTTTAATATTTTAAAATTAAAAACAATATTTTAAAAATATAAAAGATTTCAAATGTATAACTTCTCAGAGTTGAAATATTTGGTCAATTTTAAATCAATAATTGGAAATTCTTAGTGAAAATAATGATTGGCATTTTGAATGAAAAAATCAGAAAAGCAAAAAAGATAAAGCATAAATGTTTTATGAATCATTTTATAAATTTTTGAAGTAAAATAAATTTCAAATCAGTTTTTATAGTTATAAAAATGTATGAAAATTTTAATTTTGATAAAAAATAAGGAAAAAATCATCTCAAATAAAAAGTATATTTGTATCATATGATTTTACAAAAAAATAATTATATTTATTGATTTATATATAATGTATTATATTACTTTAAAAAAAATTATATGAAAACAGAAAATTTGCATATATTAGTGATTTGACATAAAATAAAATAAAAAATAATAAAATATGATGCAATTAATTTACTATACTATTTATATGAAAAAAATGTAAACTCAATGTATTGAAAAGTACACTACATATAACAATTATGCCTATTTTGGCTTGACTATGAATATTAAATTTTCAACTTTTATCAACAGTCATATATAAAATTATGATGACGACTTTATCTTAGAATGTAAAGTAGAAATATTGAAGTTTCAACTTCCCATGTTCAATCTTGAAGATTGAGACTATGGTGGAGAGTAGCTAGTGCAAGAACGTGGATTTGGCTTCACTATATGCTATTTCTGTTGTAATGATGACCGCCAGGTCCTGATATACGTTTGGATAATATGAAAGTATATTGTGGCATAATTGTCTTAATGTATGATAATTTGTATAATGATGTTTGGTGAGCTATCAATGTATGTTTTGATGTGATATTTATATGGATGATAGTGAAAACATAAACTCATATGCATGATTAATAATAAATTCGAGTAATGTCCTTATAGACATGATTTTAATCATAACAGGAAAGAAAAAAAATTTCATGAAATTAATAATACTGTAACTTGCTCATTTCAATTATTGAAACTTTATTTAGTTTGATATGATCGAGTTTCTTTAATTGGTACCATGATTGCAATTCTATTACAAACGTATTAGTCTCCTCATCATTCATGGAACAGAAAAAAACATTTTTGTATTTTCAGGAACAGAAAAAAACATTTTTGTATGAAAATGTGCAGAGATTTCATTTTTTATTCCATCAAATATCGACGATGATATATTAATCAGAAGTGTTTGTGAGAGAGCAAGAGTTAATGATTAGAATATATTTCGCTCATTGTATAGACTAATTTAGTATATTTAATTCGTCGAAGAGTGATATTCATCCTTGAACAAGCAAACTGGTGATGGATTATGCTTATACTCTAGTCTACAGAAGACTGGGGCCCGAGGGGACCGAAAAACAGGGTGATATTATTAAGGTGTAGCCATATGTTACCTCATTGGTTTCATCACTGTACGTATGGATGGGTGGATATTCCGATCCTCTTCGTTTTAATAGCCGGAGCGCCTATTCCTAGTGCAATGTTCATATGAACATCTTCGTGGGCCTGACGAAGACCTTTGGGTTATTGAGGGATTTCGCGTTTCGAGGCTTCATTCGGCCAGGCTCGAGCAAACCAACTGTTGGCTTGACGTTTCAGCCCGTTGTCCTGCCACTTTTGCAGATGCGGGAGAGACAGGACGAATACAATGGCGAAAGGAGAAATGCCAACAGGGGATTCATTCCGCAGTGAGCTTTTGGTGGAGGCCGCTCTCTAAGTTCGCATGACGTCAGTCAAGACACAAGATCTAAGTCGCCTGTCGGAGCTCAAAGTTCTTGTACAGAACAGGTCATGTGAGAAAACGGTCTGACGAAGAACAATAAAGAATTTTAGCAGGTCCAATCACGTGCTCCGAGCCCGAGACTGTGCTGTCAGCGAATCGGGGAAGGGGAAATCGCCGGGGGGGAAATTTGAAGTTAAGACCTGCGAAAGTGCATGGCCCTTGAACCTTCGGAGATTCGACGAGGGAGCACAGCAGTAACTCACCGATGCACGTAATCAGGTAGAGGCCCTTGTTCCTCGTCGTCAGTTTTACCTGGGATATTGCCCGGATAAGGAGAAGCGACAAAGAGTGTTCATGGTTGCCTCGGGGTTAAGAGGCCTGCAAAGGACAGCGGGCAGGGCCCCACCGCCATGTTGAAGAAGAAGGGGAGGCAACTGGAATCGCGGGAATATTTCCATGACTTGGACTGTATTCGCTTTTCGGGAATCGCCTCCCATCTTGTGGGATGCGGCAGATCCCAGAGAATTTGTAAGGGTTAGATCGTCCCAAGTGCTTTATAAGGCTCCCAGCTCGGCAAGAATCCATAGGACTCCACTTGAATCCCATCAGTCTTCGATTCTCAGCTGCAGCGAGCGGCAACAGCAGCAGCTGTCGACGAAGAAGCAAATGAGCCCAACTAGAGTCCCTGTCTGTGTTGGAAAGACGGGCCGACCAGAGTCCAGATCTCCTTCCTCATGATTAGATTAGATTGGACTGTCCACACTCGATACAGCAGGTAGAATATCGAGCGTGAATCGTCGAGTCGAGTCGCATCGCGTCGGAGCTCAGGACCTGACGGATCTAACAGAAAACTCAAAACGCGGGATGGCGGATTTGGAGCAGCCGTTGTTGCACCCGAAGCCCGTGAAGGTTTACCCAAAATGTCCCGGTTGCAAAGTTGCGCACCTCGTCGTCGACGGTGCACCACCGGCTTACAAAGAGTTGAGCTTCGTGGCCATCATGATGCTGTCGAATGGTGCGCTCTCTCGGTCGCCCAACTCTCCGCAGTATTTTTCAGTGTACCAATATAGTACAGCACGCTCACGCCATTTTCCGGCTAGATCTCTCATGATCTTTCCATGTTCCACCTACTTTGCTCTGAATCTCCGTGCATCTGCACAGCACCAGTATGCCTGCATTCAATCGGCGCCAGTGATTTACATTTGCAGCAGGACCATAATATGGTTTCATCTAGAATGGCCGTGGTCCTCCTCAACCCCCTCCTGACAGTGGCTGAACTCGATGTGATGTATTGTTTGTGCAGCACTGCCAATTTCGTTTCTCTATCCCTTCCTCTACTTTATGGTAAGTCGTATCGGGCACTGGAATTCGTTTGTGGCTTCTTTTGTGCGGCTGAATTGCATTGAACTCGCGCTTGTAAGTTCGATGACATTTGTGCGTATGGTTGACGATTTCCAGGTCAAGGATATGCACATCGCGAAACGTGACGAGGACATAGGATTTTATGCAGGATACATCGGTAAGGCCCTTGGCTTTGATTGGTCGAATTGGGGATGTTAGACACAGCTTAGAACGCGCAGATGCGAAGGTCAATCAGGGCCACACTCCTCACCGCTGGAATGCGACGGCTACTGACACTGATTATGGATTACTTACAGGATCGGCGTTTATGATCGGAAGATTTCTTACATCCATGCATTGGGGTATCGTGGCTGACAAATATGGACGGAAGCCAGTGATGATTTGCGGCGTTCTTTCAGTGTAAGGCCTCTACTGTAATGCTCAGCTCCCAGAGCATGGCGGCGACCGATCACCATGCTTCTTATCAATATGCAGTCGTTGTATCTGATGTCTCTGATTCCCGCACGTAGGATGAATAAGGTCTGATCATGGCAAGACTCGTGTGCAGTATTGTTTTCAACATCATCTACGGGTTCAGCGAGAGCTTCTGGGCAGCGTTTTTGTCCCGACTTTTACTCGGAGGCTTTAACGGGATCCTGGGACCTGTGAAGGTAAGAAAACCTAAGCAGTCGGATTTGTAACTTTCTAAGCTGCCGTCATCATATTCTGTTGGAATCTCGGCGTCTTTTGCCTTTTGTTCCGCTCAGCGTATTCTACGGTTGTCTAGATGTCCAGATGTCCGGTCGATGGGCATTGCGGGGCTATGCATGAGGAATCGACTGTGTCAACTTGCGGTATGGCCCTAGCATGCTCTCAGACTCGGGCAGGTAGTAGAGATTCCACTGAACATGTAACACTTACCTCGTTGTGGCGATGGTAAGTCTTGATCTCCGAGTCATGTGGAAGTCGCTGCTCACTGTGTTCAATAGTCAACAGTTCTAAAGTCACAATATGCGTTGTGTGTTTGACATAGGCTTATGCATCGGAGATCTGCAGCGACGAACATCAGCCCTTGGGAGTTTCAGTCGTAAGTATCCTGTCGATCTTATCAGGAGTAAAAAAATCTCCCAAAAGTTTCCACGTACAAATTTTCCGAACGTTTTAGATATGAATGGGCAAGAACTGTCTAGCTCACTCAGGGTACATCGTAGCTCAGGCAACCAACATCTTCTTTGATCATGGCTGCAGGTCGGCACGACTCTGGGACTCGGAATGATCGTCGGCCCTGCTCTTGGTGGTTATCTTTCACAGGTAACTTGTTTGCGACACCCCAAGATACAGTTTTGCTTTCATAGCCCAAGGTTTCCGTCGCTTGTTCCATGTATTACACAGTATCCACTTCAGGCTCCCTATGTTCTGTCTCAATTGACTGATTTGGCTAGTCACAGCTGTTTCTTCTTGGTTGGAAACTAATCGGCGGAATTGCAATTTGTCTGCTCAAAATGGCAGCCCGCACTGAAGTATCCAGCTTTATTTCCTCCTGGTTCTCTCTTTGATCGGTAAGTGTATGGTACTTCTGATCTTTGGCCTATTTCAGCTTATTTACATCAACTGTGTCATTCAATTTGCCGAAGAGAGTGCTGAGGTTTTCAAGCTGGGGAATGACCTCCTGTATATGAAACGTGCAGATATCCTTACTTGATGCCCTGCCTTTTCGTGTCGGGACTGGCTGCGGTGGGGCTCGTAATTACTGTGTTGTATCTGCCGGTACGTATCAAGCCAGGAATTTGAGTGCAGTCTATGTTTTGTTTGATTTAGAAGAGTATCGATAGTAGTCCTCTGGCTGTCCATCCGAGGCTGACACGTGAATTGTGGATCTGATCAGGAAACCCTCCATATTCACAACGACGAGGATGCTATTATAGACGGACAGGCTTACAACGAGAAGGCTAAGTTGCTAGAAGCGGAAGAAGAAACAGAAGAAGAAGTGGAGAAGAAAAGAGTTGAAAAGGCGGAAGACTCGATATGGGCAGTGTTCAAGAATCGGCATTTGGTGTCGGCTGTTCTCGTTTACTGCACCTGGTCCATGCACAACATGGCCTACACTGAGGTAAGCAGCCTCGCCAGTGCATGTGGGATTCTGACTGGTGTGATTGGAGCTCCTCTTTGCCTTCCAGGCTCATGTCTACCGAATCTCAAGGTCCGATGAAGCCCAGCTGATAACCCACCTGATGGCTGCAGATCTTCTCGCTATGGGCCGTCAGTCCATTGAAGAATGGAGGTTTGGGTTTCAGCACCACAGACGTCGGCAATGTGCTTGCGATTTCAGGTAAAGTTGCATGCACTGCATTCCTCAATTCCCCCGTCGGACTTCTGCTTGTTGCGAAGTAAAGCTCTGTAATTAAGCTACGGGGTCTGTGCATCGGCCTTTGCTTGCGGTGGATGACGGTCGTTGCTTTGTCGTGAAGGTGCGGGATGTTTGCTCTTCCAGCTCTTGGCCTTCCCACCCATCGCCAAGATTCTTGGTCCGATCGCCACCACCCGATACTCAGCCGTGAGTTCTCTTCAACCCATCTCCCGAACTTGATTGCTGCTGGGCTTATCTGAGATCGACTTATCGACAGTGTGTTCCTTACTGACGAGTGCGCTCTCCGTGGTTCCTCGCAGTTCCTCGCGTTGCCGTTGCTGTGCATCTTCCCCTTCCTCGCCGATCTCCATGGCACCCTATTGTGGTCTCTGCTGATCTTCGCCGCCGTCTCCAAGAGTGCTTTGGCGGTAATCCCACGCGCTCAATCCTCAACTCTTGCTGTCCATTACTTCAGATGTCGGACGTCGTAGCGTGACGGCACGATAGGTGTCCGGAGCCTTGGACCTCACGTCCTCGTCATGCCATCACTTCTCGGCACTCGGTGCTTGGCCAGGACATAGATCTTCACAGTCAGAACCTGCCCGACGTGCAAACTGCCGCCTCTCCCTCGTGAGTCGAGGAGCTCGGCTTGAACCCAGTAAACACCCACCCAGAGTCCTCATGGCCGCCCGGTCGTCTGGCGTCTGGACTCTGTCGCGACTCGAGAGCTGGATATGAATGATGGAGAGGAAATTTTCAGAATGCGTTTATCCGAACCGCTCAGAGGTTCGGGAGATGGTCCTCGTGTGATGGTGACTGTGGGGTCAGTCGTCGTACAGTGACTGTGGGGACCTCGGACCTAACGAAGTCCACCTATCCGCATGCACGTCACGCAGCCTCGTAGTCATGTAGTCGTCTTGTCATGATTACATGGGACGTACGGTGTTCATGTCACCTACTTTTATTTTCAGTCTCGTTACCAACTTGGAGCTGCGACGGGCTGCTGTCATCAGTGCCCGAATACTCACATGCAGCGACTTGACTGCGAGGAGAATTTATTATTTCGGCGAAGTCGGACTGTGCTCACCGATTGGAACGTGCAGACATAGAACTGCAAGGCTTCTCGAGTGGAGCTACACTTGCTTTCCGCACTCTGCCGTATTTGTCGTTGATATGACACTTCTTCCTGTTGACTTCAATCGCAGTTTCATCAACACTCCGAATCAATTGAAGCATACGCTACTGATTTGACTCTCACATGTGGATGAGTAAGCGTTGGTGTCAATCTTCCTAGCGCTCGCTTGTATAGTGTAGGCGCTTGGAATGCTTCTGCCAACTGGTGGCCAGTTGGCAGATGTAGCGAACGGGGTTTCACGCTGTGACTTCATATATGACTTTATATATATAATATTTGCGAAGAAACGAAGAGTCAAAAAGAATCATCTAGGCCCGGATTACTAATGACACCATTTATTTGGTATGTCTATGTGCAGGTTGCCACACTTAGTGGATCATTCCTGCTCATCAACAACTCTGTGGTCAGTAATCCTGCAAAGTTCCAACCTTTTCATTGCATATGCACTGATCTAATTCGGTATGACCCACTCAGAGTTATCGTAAGAGCCCAAATCTCACAAGAGCGCAGCAGTCTTATGTCACTGACATACTCTTGTTTGAGCAGTTTCCAAAACAAAGAGGAAGGGCGAACGGACTGTCCGTTAGTGCTGTGTCTTTCTTCAAAGCTGTAGGACCCGGAGCTGGAGGAGCAATGTAAGTGGAATTATCATTTCTTTTGCCTCAGAGAGATAAAGTATGGAATTGCTTTCTGGTGAAATTCACGTGTACTATGTACTTGCGACGGTTGTGATTGGCCAAGTGGTCGGACAACGTTGACATTCAAAAGAATTCTTGCTCCGTGGTAATGTGGTATGGAATACGGCGCTGCGGTAGCTTTGCTTCCAGTAGTTCTCCTCTTGACGATCATTCCATCTAGGTATTAAAAAGTATTTCCTACTGTGCAGTTTTGCTTGGGCGCAAAGCCGGGTGTCGAATATCCTTCCAGGTATTTACCATCAGACATTGGCCCTTGTGACCGTTGTTCTTGGGTTTTGATGTTCATTTTGAAGAAACTGCACAGCCTTCCCACTGCCATGTGGAAATTTTCACTTCATTTCGCGTTTCAAGTAGACTCCAATCAGGAAATGACTGTGTGCACTGAATATTGTCGCCCTGTAAACCATAGTCGTCAACATGGTTCGAGGCTCGAAATGACTCTGTGACATTGCCGGAACCTTCATTTCTCGGTGCTTTTTCTCTGCTGATGTTCAGCATGATAGAATGATCTCCTGTCTAGATGCATACGAGCCTATGAACTACGGAGCACTCAATAGTCATCCACGATCATGTAGACATCTCTAAAGCAGCCCAAAAGCATTTGCAAAAAATCGTCCAAGTACCGAAGCAGTTTCCTGCACGTGGCGTTTAGTGTACGCATCTCCGATTGACTACCTATGTGGGAAAGGATCTGTTGACGGCATTGTGGCTATCTCCGTCTGTGTGCTTGTTTCTCTCCTAGCCATATCCGGCATCCCTCCATCATTGCAGTCTGTTCTCTGCAGAGTTTTCTCGGCAGGATGGACTCCCGACGGGGACCTGAGAAAAGTTTACAGTTGCTGTGTAGATCTGACGAAACAACTGCTGTGGCCGATTGTGCAGGAAATCAAATGGTGTTCTTCATACTGGGCACAGTAGTTGTTGCAGATATTATTTTGACATACGAACCGTTTCTGCCAAAATCCGTCGACAAGCCCAAGCACGACGATTCGGAATTTGTGGCGACGGCGGCAGTTGCGTCCAGTCAGAAGTAAATTTTGTTAGTGTCAAACAATAATTCAAAGTATATCAAGCCATAGCTAGTCTTTCATAACCTTGGCATTCGTAGAAACCGGAAGTGCTTTCTGCGGCCTCATATCGAAGGACCTCGTGATAATAGGGGTCTTACTTTACAGTCATCGTCTTCAATCATTGCGAGATGATGAAAAAAAGCTCCATGGTTTCGTTAGCGGGACCAATTTACAGCAGTATTCTCGACAGCTCGAAGCTGTCGATCATGAGATTTCGACGGCTCTTTGAAAATGTTCCTTCTCATTTACTTTTATTGTACGACTTGAAATCTGAAGAAGAACGAAAACTTCATTCACTTAGCCAGATTTGCATATCGTGTCCTGCTCTTATTAGCAAAGCGTCTGATCCGCATCTGACACGTGGTTTTTTGGTATCGTGGCATGAAAGTGACATGACTATCGGCATGAGAATCATAAAGTTATTTCCTTGTGCTTTCAAGAGAATATCTTTATTGTCTTCCTCACCCATGATTGACGGGGAATATATTGACGAGTATCTAATCATGCTAAGGGAAAATGGCCACTGACTCCCAACAGCCCAGCGTGGACGTTCAGATTAAACAACAGAAACTCACAAGGTGTAAGGTAAATCATACAGTATACTCATTTGACAATTCTCAAAACTCGGAGGTCTGAAAACAGAAAAGAGAAGCAGCTGTGCGGAATCTCTCGAGGCTATAAAAGCGGCAGACGCCGATTCCAATTTATCAGCGTAGAAATGACTATTGAGATCAAATCGCTATTGTGCACCAACAAACCTGTCCACTACGGGATGTACGGGAACTAAGTTTTTGTAGGATTTTCCTTTGTAAGGATCGAGATTCACATTTGGGAAGGATCTCGTTCTCGCCTATGTTCATAAAAAAGTCCAAGTCATGGGTTATCAATGTCATTATATATATTGATATAATCATATTAATTTGTTAAGTGAATGTGATATATATATATATATATATATGAGTGAAGTATGATGGAGATCAGGATTTGAAACATTGTATAAAATCCAAAATAATATCAACGTGTACTTATATTCATGTACAGTACATTCCGTATAATATTTATTTATTTATATTTAGCATTATCTAAGTGAATTGCTAGGCACACACCCCCCAAAAGAGGGATGACCGCCCGTGACCTTAATAGCACGCTCAGATCGACAGAAGTAACCGTCTCACTCGCAGAGGCACCATATCACTAAAGATGGAGCCGCCGCCGCTGGATCGCGTCTACGCGTCGTTGGAAGAAGCCGAGACGGAGATCTTTGCCTTTGCCTTTGCTTGCCGTAAACAGCTTTTCCCCCTTGTTTGACGAAGCGCTGGCATGTTTCGACGCAGAAATGTTTAGCTTTTGGTGTTTTGACGCAGAAATGTGCTTTGTGGACGAGTGTATGTATGCACAGGAGTGGGGGTGTGTGCCTAGCAATTCCCTTATTTAATTTGTCATCTCAGCATGTGTGTAGACTATTTCATGTCACGTTACACACCAAAGCATTATCACGTGTGAGATTGTCATTAGATGGTTTAAAATGGCATGAATATAGACATGTGAAATTGATAGAAATAGATTTCCATAATAAGCTTATGAGAGAAATTTTAACCCTTACCTTCAGAATAGTTTCATTAGTATAACATATAAGGAAAAATCCATTATTTATCTCTTCAAAAGTTGATTTGGACTATGTACAGCTTACACAAATTTCTAATTCAGCACCCACACATATTTTTTTTATTCAAGTCATAATGTATCACTCTTGTAATCCTTGATCTCATGAACTTCTTTTAGAATTTTTTTGACTATACATAAATATTTTTGCTTGCAATATATAAATTTAACAATCCAAGTATTTTACTTCTTTGTCATGTCACTAGCAAATGTAATGTCGTTGTACTTATATGTCAAACCAACTTGTGCAATTTTCATTGCTAGCAAACTTGCAACACATTGTTGATTTACTTTTGCAATGATTATTATTTGAGCATAAGGTACTACTTCATTAGATTGATATTCTTGTTTTGACAATTTTATTCCATTTTAAATACTTCATTAGTCAAATGAGTTCTCATTGATATCCAAATGTATCCAAATTCACGGAGAATCAATCAATGGTATTGGTATAATTTTCATAATCTAAGAGTTGAATGACCTTATAACAAATGTGTTGTATAAATTGAATCTTTTATGTTCTAACGTAGTTCTGTGTTGTCTACAAATTAGATTGAAATTCATGAGTACTCAAAGAATATTGTCATAGTTTTATGAAGCTTTATAAGTTCAAATTTTGTGAATGTAGTTTTCAGTGACATGAAGATTTGGTACCTAATATTGTTTGTTTGTTGTAGCATCACATTAATTTCCAATTTTATAAACATGTCTACAAATTCTAAAAAAATTGAATTTGTCATCTACACCAAGAAGATTAACATTTCAATCAGATTTTATTGTAGATGTTATTTTAATACTTTTTTGATATTTTTTAAGATCCATTGTGCACAAAGAAGCTTCTTTGTGCAATCTAGAGTAGGATTTTATCTACAATAGATATGTTTAACATGTTCTTTGATTGGATTATATGCAAATGAAAAACAAATTCATGTAAATTTTTTTTTTGCTTGATTATTTAATTTCTTGCATGTTTGCCTAATTGCAATGATAGATTAAATATTTGATATTTTCTATCCTCTAGTAATATTTTTACTGTGTTTTATAAGAATCTTTGAGATCAATTCCATGTACATCCATCACTCTAGTAGTTTTATAAAGTTGATTTATGTCGCTAAATTAGTTGCAAGAACTATGATTATATTGTCAATACGTAAGAATTTAGTTGTCAATTGATTTCTTCTATTATTGGCATTAGATTGATTGTTCTTATTGTATGTTCTGTTTGGTTTGTTACTTGCACCAATAAGTTATTGCTTTCATTCCATTCGTCAACTAATTTTCAAACTTTATGTTTGTCCGAGCACTACGCACTACAAGCTTTAGACCACGCATAAGTTCATTGAACGAATTAGCCATATCGCAAGTTATATACACATGAATAAAATCTTAAGCATTAAAGCTCAAATACTCGCATACACTTTCGTCGCCTCATGTATTTGGCCTACACATTGTGTTGAAATTCTCTCTTGAGTGATATACAATTCAAGTATGCTGATGGAGAGCTTTTTAATTGAATACACTTTGACAGTGATTCCAATTTATTACGTTTTTACGCAAGTATGTATGCTAGATTCTATAAAGTAATTGTGATTTAGTATCATGAAAAAATTGACCATATAATCACTCTTCAGTAAATTTTAATAACGCTATTTAGGGAAGGCCTAGTTATTTCTCACTTAGGAATAATTAGCACTCACCCTAGTATACGCGATTATCTGATTGGTCGAATACATTACATCCTCCCCGGAAGTATGTATGTAAGGTTCTATAAAGTAATTGTGATTTAGTATCATGAAAACTTTGACGGCATAGTCATTATTGAGTAAACTTTAATAATGCTATTTAGGGGAAGTCTAGTTATCACTCACTTAGGAATAATTAGCACTCATCCTAGTATACGTGATTCTCTGATTGATCGAATACACTACACCCTACTTTGATTGCTACTCATCCGAGTAACCTACCACTAAGAGAAGAACCTGGAGCAGAGTGAAAGCTAATTAGCCCCAAGTGAGGGATAACTAGCCACTCCCGCTATTATTGGTGTGTAAACTCCGGTTACTACTTCATACACTCATGTAGAATCATACTTGAGGTTGTTCTCATGTTACAGTAACTAGTGATCAAATGCAATAAACACTTTAATGTGCGTTTGTAAGTAATATACTTAGGTTGATTCACGATTAACTTTTACATTCTCGGTAAATTATTAAAACATCCATGAAGTAGAACTTACAATAAACAGAATTTCATGTAACAACATTGATCAACACAATTTTGCATCAATGTACAGAGTTAAACCTCCCAATAGTATCATCTTGTGTGAGTGACATCCTCCCATTAGTGACATGAAAACAAAGAACCATTAGTTTCTAACGGGTAATTCTATCTAATAATAACAGTAGGTCACTATTGTTAATAGTGTCATTGGATTTTTCAATAATGACTGTGTTGATCTTTAATAGCTATCATAATTGCCAAAAGTCTTTGTTTAGAGTTAAAAGTCTCCGTTCAGAGCTTGCTGATTGATCTATCCCTACATTTAAGAGTTCAACTCTCGGTTGAAATGAATGCCGTGGTTCTTCTCAGTCCTTGAATCCGTGTCACTAAATGATGTGAGCGAAGAGGAAAGTGACATAGACGAGGTTTTTGATGTGGCATTCAAAGAGCTGAAGAAAGAAGTGTCTTACGATACCCTTACGAGATGTAGAAGACGATATACGAGGTGGTACTCTGTACAGGTTCTTGGCCACCTCTATGAGAAACATCTTCCGATCATGTGGAGTGTTGTGGCTTTGGGCAAGCTCTTCCAACCTCAACTAGACATGCGCAAGCTACCAGAGCTAGTTGTCACTTTCCCGACGTCACATCGGTCGACTTAGACACATCCATGCTTTCTGCAAACCTTGCTTGATCTTGATTTTCATCCGACATAGACTTCACACCATCTGAGTTATACTTTAAAGATTCGATCAACAAAATTGTGTGTCTTGCTAGTGTGTGAATCAAGACATTTCAATAGAAGCTCATTGTTATCCAGTAGCGACATTTCACTTATTAGTGGATGGAGTGATGTAATTATTTATAGACTAATTTTTGCATAATCGGTGAGGCATGTCAATACACATACTCTCTAGCATTTTCAAGTGAGAAAGTAACTTTTCATGAAATGATGATCGGTTTTGTGGTTCATGAATAAAAATCCGCTCCTATCGTTTTAGTCAAAACAAAGAATTTCACAGCATCTTTGTAATCTCCCGCTCTCAAGTATCTCAGTCAATGCACTTCTGCATTTATTGTTACATCGAGGCCAAGATCCAACCTTCACTGGGTAAGTTTCACAATTTTGTTGCACCTTATCGAACTATCTTCCTGAGATGAAACTCTGTTCTTGTTACTTTAAGAAGAGTTTATTTAGTGAATGCATCATTAATGACCAGAAACAAGAACTTGCAACTTCATACAACTTCCAATTGCCCTAGTCATGACAACAAGGAACAGTTGGAGTCTAGTGACTCTTGAGAATTTTAAGAATCGAGTTGTTTTCTATGTTTTATGTCAATCAGACGCATTTATTTAGGGAAGCTGCACTATTAAGATTTGCGAAGGCTGTTGATCTTGCACTCGACGTAGACTTTGTGCTTTATGTACTTATTGCTGAGCCTTTGTCATCCCGTAATTCGGACATGAAATTACACTAATCTAGTCCTTCATTATTAATTAGGCCAGTGAAAACACAAAAAAGAAATATCCATTGACAAAATCTCAGCTACAAAACTAAACTTCCATAATCACGAGCATTGTCTTTTGATACATTCTTCTCATTAGGATTTCGAGTCAAAAGGTTAACATCTCGATATTCTTGACTATGCTCTATAGATAGTTTCATGAAGTTTCAGACGATTTAATTGTTAGCAAGCAAGATACAGATATAGAAGCCAGCACTCCTTACGGACTTGCAAACAATATACATAAATCGATCATTCATACTCAATCTGGGTCTGAAATACAGAAAATCCATCCACAATAAATTGCGTATTGAGGATACGCTTTACCATAGGAAAGTTGGGTGAAAAACTCGATAGAGAATCGGTTGGCATAGTGACCAATTCCAGCAAATTTTGGCCATTTGCAAAAGCCTACGGTGATTCCGACAGCTAAGTATAGATACTTTCGATGAATTCTGTGATTTTCTATCCTAAATCTTTCTCACAGGCATCCAGCAATTAACTCACACTACTAATACCATGTGTTAAACTCAAGAGAGAAAAATTTAGATTTGAGTAAAACTTTCTGAACCCTAACTCCACATCCACTGTGTGCTAAACTCAAAAAGAGAGAAAATTAGATATATCGAATCATAGAAATACAATTTACAATCTGATTGTCGATTGTTCCAACGGTCTAAATTTCTCAATGTTATGTTGATGTATCAAAGGACGACGAGATCTTTTGAGGTTGCAAAGCAACTTACTCTGTAATTCTATCAATAAAAATGATTCGATAGAATAAAAATTAATCAAGTCAGTGATCGCTCGATTTTCCTGCTAGACTGTCACCAAATGCGGAATCTCACCAAAATCATCATCATTTGAAGTACTATCACTGTGCAAGAGATTATGTTGCTCTAAAACCGATTTGACAATGCTAACATCGTCAACATAATCATTGTCAATAGCATCAACAGCATCGAGATCAATAAGCCCTTCGACAACTACTTCTATACTTGAGTCATCAAGACCCAAGGACCTTGAAAAAAATCATTGAGTCAAATCTCTTGAAGAGTTTTCATCAAATCACCCACGGCCTGATTTGAGTTGGTACTATATCTATCTATATCTTGATTCGAAATTACGTCAGATACAAGAGGTAGACAATTGGCTTTAACAAAACACCTTCAAATAGTATTTTACTCTATACTATCCAATGCAAATTTCACCCAACCAACTACATTCCGTAGATGGGTATGATAGTTGATCAAAAACTGAGAATAAGATGCTCGTCCACTCGCCTACCACATTTCATACTCAGACATTAAATGATTCAGTTGAGCACGACGAAAATGAACTTTGAAAGATCGAATGATACCTTGATCAAGAGGTTGACATTTGCTAGTAGCATTCGGAGGAAAAAAAAGTATACAGAGATTTTGAAATTTGAAAAAAGATTTTGTTGATCCCAATGGGTCTAAGATCTTAGACGCACAAACGTAAGAGGAACAATTTTGTTGTACCTGTGAAGCAGACGCATATAGGAAGATGTATCCTACCAAACTTTAATTTGATGATCATAAAAATTTCCGAACGCCTTATTTATGTCAGGAATGTTATTCAAAGCACGTGGACGATCACTCTTCGTAATAAACTTTTTGCCTGAAGCACTAACTCCAAGCGTCATTGTAATTCGTTCTTTATTTCACTTCACTTCACGACGATCTTGATGACGTCGTGCAATGCTGTAAAGCCGACTCGTCAATGTTAATGATGCATTCGAGTGATACATAGGATAACATTTCACAATTTGTTACAGACGTTTCTCCCCTTCCATGACATTCATATTGTTCTGTTCTCCGCATATCCTCTTACTCAACGTTGAAATGCACTTCAAATACTTCCCCAGCTCTCCATTCGACGCAACAAATGTTTGCAGAGAAATTGTATCTGAAAATGCTAAACATTTTTCTAAGTCAAGCAAAAATAGAAACTTCTTCTTGAACATCTCACCCGTCACATTTAGTATCGATCTCAAAACTAACATACCATTGTTGTATCATTTTTGTAACATGTTGCACTCGTGTCTATGTAGAAATTTTTTTAAATTGATCTCGATTTGATTATGACGATATCTGTTGATTTCTCTTTCCAGATTTTTGAAACAAATATATGTGCCACAGAAAATGCCTATGTCACTTTTTCATGGCTGGCTCCGGGGTGATTCAAAAAGTCCAAAACTTTCAACTTTGTCTTCACGCCCAAAAGTTAGCGTTAGACATGTGTGAATAATAACGGGTGGAAATTAAGAGAAAAAAACTCCCACCGAACAGATTGCAGCGAGAGAGAAAGTAACGCCCACCGAACGCAAATAACGCGCGAAAGGATTCGATATCTTCTTCTTGTCTTTGTTCGGTGGACAGATTGCATTGCAAGTGAACAAAGCGACCACCTACTGCATAACAACTGTGATAGATTGCAGCGAGAAAGAAAGAAGCGCCCACCTAACGGTGACAGATTGCAGCGAGAGAGAAAGTAACGTCACCCGAACGCAAATAACGCGCGAAAGGATTACATATCTTCTTGTGAGTGAAACGTCCTAATAGTGACAATAACCTTAGAACGGTTATGTGTCACTCTTGGGAGGTTTAACTCTAGTTATTTCTTTGAGTTGTCGAACTTGCTAATGCTCACAGCCCCTATCTTGACAAACTTACTTCGCTAGCACTATTGATGACTTTGACAATTTCGAGAGAAAGATATTTGGGCAGACAAGTACATAGGGTACGAGTCAGATCTAGCTTCATTGACAAATTGTGGAAGTAATATTCACACGGTTGGTTTTCGAGCTGTGGTTGGACTAAACACTTATAGCTCAACTACAATTTGATGAGCTTCGCTTTCGCCACTTCTGGTTGAATCACCACATTTTCACAAGACGAAAAATTACTCGTCGCTTATTATGCACTTATAACAACGTGCCATCGATTCTACGTTTCATTCTTCTGTAAGTTCCCTCCCATGCTCAGAAAATGTGCACAGAACCTCTAGAAACGATGGACAACAACGAACTATAACCTGGAGAGAGTCTGCCCGACAAAGAGGTTTTGGACATTTAGTAGCGGCCTTTTCACACAAACTGATGATTCGTACCATGTTCGAATGTACTGATAACAACAATGGATTGCAGGTTCCATCACTCAGCAATAGGGTGAACCACGAGGACAAGAACACATATAGCAAGACGTTCTCTTTCCAACAGATCAAAGGGTCATTCCACAACAAAGTCGTGAGGCACAACTTCGTTCAAATTACTTTGGAAAACAATGTACGTTGGAATTGAATTTCCGGAACTTTTTTCTTGAATAACAATATTCCAACATTTGCAAATGAAAACTTCTAAGTCTGCAAAATTTTTCAAGGACGGTATATGACTCTGGGAGAAGAGATTATCTTTTACTGCACGTGACATGTTATCATATACAGGACATACGCATAAATAAATGTTATTACATCTTAATGTGATAATAATCTGCGTCGAAGTGATGAATGCGAACGTAACCATCTTCTCCCCCACTCGAAAAGCTGCAAAAGGAAACAAAACCAAGTAAGCACAACAAAGATGGCACAACACCAGTTGTGGCAACTCTGCCTACCAACAAAGGTTACAAAATGAGTAAAAAGGCCAACTTAATTCAAAACGTGATGCACAGGACGATCCTAGTACGCATAGAATAAGCCGAGGTGGAATTATTCAAAAGAGGCGTCTTACCTTCTGCCATCTGTGTTGAATGCAAGGGCGTTAATTGGCCCAAAGTGTCCCTTGACACCGCCAATTTCCTCCTCGTATATCTGATATGAAGATAGCCATAACAAGAGTGTGTGAGTCACGTATCCGTGGAACAGAAAATCCATCCCCATATTAACAGATCCTGAACTCCTTGGTGTCAAGGACCACGCATCTACTCATCATCAGGGCGAAAAATGCTCTACAAGAAAGAAAAGTCATTCTGAAGGAGAACATGCAGCCATGTAGACAATCGACCAACAACAGAACGCAGGCTATAACTTTTACAGCTGAGTAGCTCATACACGCTGCATACACATGTTGCAGTAAAAATGTATCGAAATTTTATCTGAAAAAGAAGGAATTTCGTCAAATCGACATTGGAACTAACCTTGTGGAAAAACTTGGCTTCGAACTTTCCTGCTCTTCTGTCACTCATTGTCACCTGAGACGCATCTTGACCTCCTCCGATAACAACCTGTCGACAAGCAGACACGCGCTCGATGAGGGCACCTTCATGACGAATCTATCTGTATCTCAAAACTTACTCGAAGACTGCAGATTTCATGTTGTGTTACGCTCGTCATGTGAGAGGGGATGAACTTACGTGATCCAAAAGAGGTGAGATTGCCGCGGCATTTACAGGTCTTTCGGTGCTGTATGTCTTCAGCACTTCCAAAGTGCGAATATCCCATAACTACGAAAACAGAAAAGTTCAGTACAACAAACTGAGCAAATTAAATGGATCTGAAAAAGAACTCACTCTTTGAGCACAAAACCAATGAGCCGCTTGGCCTGTACTTGCTACAGGCAGTTCAGGTGAGCACGTTCCATACCTTGGCTGACTTGTCATGAGAACCGGTGATGAAATGGGATCCGTCAGCTGACTTGGCAAGCGATGAAACCACCTTCTGATGTCCAGCATCTGGGTCACTCTGCTTGATCAGCTTTCCTGTCTGTGAAACACACAGCGCGACGTTAAAAATGACGAAATTGCTCCAGTCTATTTAGGTAGAGGAATAAATGCAACTGATAATCGTTCACTTAATCCATTGCGGTGACTTCATAGTGTTCAGAACTGCAAAAATCAGGAATAAGCCTAAAGATTGAAATGAATGTCATCTTTCCTCGGGGAACTGTAGAACAGAATTGTAAATCCAAAGTTTGACAGTAAGAGAGACAACGCACCTCGGCATCCCACATACGCACGAGGCAATCTTCGCCAGCACTGATGATAGTCTTGTTGAGAGGACCCCACACAGCTCGGTTGATACGTCCAGTAGGTCCCTTGATTACAAAAAGAGATTCGCTGCTCTCTGAAACAAAAGTTGACAAGAAAGAAAGACACATCGCAAATCAACTGGTGAACGCTCAGTTAACTGACACTTGTTTCTGTACAACTCGAATTATCAGAGTTCCAAATTTTCCAGAGGCCTGTTGAAGATGCAATTTGTTCCATATATCTGGTCCTCTATGACAATGAGCGTGCACGTTTGGGCAGCATGCGCAACTGAGGTAAAAACATAAGCTTGAAGAAAAACTAAGCTCGGGGGAATAATAAAAGAAAGAAAGACCGACAAAAAAGCTACGTGCGGATGAACCCAAGCCCGAACAACACTTTCGAATCTACTTCTAACCCAACGAAATCCAGTGGCGTGCAAACAAGACCTGTGATCCAGAGTTTTTTGGTTCTATCAGGAGTTCATAAGGTGAGACTTGGTGAGAGTTGAGGGGATCGTGCGGTTGGCGTGAAGATTTGAGTCCGGAAATACTTCGAAACACTTCCAGCACAAAAACATATCGTTGTACGCAATTCATCAATGGTCCCAGCTACTACAAGATCATGAGGAGCTGAAGAGATCCGGGTATTAATACGTACGCTTGGAGTGATCCTTCTCCACACGCTTGACGTGAATTTCAGATGGGGCGCCAATGAAGGGATCGGTACTAATAACACACAATTTATCCCCTTCGGCAAAATCAACAGCCCTGGCCGGTGACTCAAAGCCGAACGTGTGCAGCTTCGCTCCGGTCTCCACATCCCAAATGTTAGCTGACTGATCAGCAGAACCTGTGATTAAACGCTCTGTGTGTCCTGTTCCACATAATCAAAGAGCAATCAGGAAACCATGAGAACCTCTGACAAACTACGCGAGCGCAACCAACACAGCACCTGACGACGCATCCATCGAAGCGACCTAAGGTTCACTAACAGCACTCTGCTCCACTAACAGAAATCTGCTTCCTCAGACGCCGAAAAAGCAGCCAGCTGGCCTGCAAACAGCGGGATGCCACCGTAAAACACAATCAATTTCGCCCGCCCGGGGTAGAGGTCCAACAATACATACTCGAGACGTCGCAGCACCAGACGGCACCGTTGTGGCCACGGTAAGTGCCCAAGCGGTCTCCATTGTGCGAGTACCAGACAGTGGGATTGTGATCCTTCGCGCAGGAGAACAAGAGATCTCCGTCTCTGTTATACTTCAAAAACGTCAATGGCCTTTCATGCCCCTTCAGCAGAATCGGCCTCATGACGGGCTACGTGAAAAGTCTTTTGCTCAATCAATCGTAGAAAGCACAATTCGCGACTCGACCAAGGGAGACAGTCCCTGCACCTCGATGGGTGACACCAACACGAGCAAAAGTCTTTTGCTCGATCAATCGTAGCAAGCACAATTCGCGACTCGACCGAGGGAGACAGTCCCTGCACCTCGTTGGGTGACACCAACACGAGCAAAAGACTAAACTCTGTAGTTCCGCGAACCCTAAATGTCAGGAGCACTGCGTTCGTTTCTTCCTCTTCCTCTTCGCACCCTAACCCTCTATCTCCTCCCTCCAAAAGTTCTTGTATCGCGTACTCAAGTTCTTACATCGAGCGCCTTCGTAGCATTGCCTGTGTTTCGTCCTCAATTTCTTCCCTCTCTTCGCGCTTTTCCGGGCTCTGGTCAAAATAAAAGCACTGTCAAGCTTCGGAAGAAATATTCGAGATTTCGCTGGATCCAGATGCACCGGGAACACTCTTTCGTCTCCAAATCAAACTTCTTTCGATTGCTTGAAGCACAAGCGAGTGAAGAAAAAGACTCTAGAATCATTAAAAAACCAGTGGTTTTTTATTTGCTCAAACACATAATTGCAACACCGCGAGAGTAAATTTATTGTGTTTTAGGATCTCGACATGGACGATAATTGTGAATTTTTCATGCGTTGCTCACCAACATTAACCAACTCTTGAGCAGCAACTTGTCGACTTGATGAGCAGACGACGGAGTTGGAGAGGCTAATCATCTAAAACCGGTTGAGTAATTGCTGTGAATAAGTTCTTATAAATGCCACAATTGCAAAAGAAATTGCAATAACACTTGCCCTAGACTTGGTGGCCGAAATATGAAAATAGGTAAACCAACTCCAATCGAAGGGTATCGTCTCTGACCACCAGGGGCTCGATTTTGCAGCCATCACGATTCAATCCAGGCCCCCCGACAGGAAAGTCATGTTTGGATGGCAAAAGCAGAGTCACGAAAGGGGCTTTGACAACTTTTAGCAATTTCGTGATCATAGTTATATCACTCGTGGCCAGATCCTCGAATAGGAAAAGGGAAGAAGTGCAATTCTACAAACTCAACCTACTAGAGAGCTTGTAGGCAACTGTATCATACCTTCTGTACTTCAAAGTTACCCATCAAATTTTCAATCTTCGGTTGATTATTTAATCATCCCCCGGGCATGGAATTGGACTCAAAGGGCTCGCAGTCGATCATTATCTAATGGGAATAGTCACCCCGTTTAGATCGAACTGGTTGTAGATACACTGGACTGTGTCTCGCTGTCGCGAGATAACCCTGGTCTGCAGTCATATGGAGAGTTAGAGCAAAAGAGTTCATAAAACAGAAAATACTCGATGATTTCCATAATGAGTTGTTTGTGACCCTAATGATTTATTTTGATTTGATAGATTGATACATAGAGTAGCAAGTATACATCTCAGTCTTAATGTTTGTTTTTGGAAGTACAATTTGTTATAACACTGTCATGTATGTGGGAAACTTTTAGAAGTTTTCAAAGTAATGCCTAAACTCTAACAACAAGCAGATTGTTAAATGTATGTGATGAACAATTTCTTGATATACCAGAAAATTAAATTTACCGATATTAATAAGTAAATATAATTGCAATCTGTTCATGTCACATATACATCAGCCCCATGTGATGAAACTTATTCATTCAGATTATCATCAATACTCTTGAAATGCAACTAGCTTTTGTGGACAAAGTGAGATGATATGTCTTAGTAAATTGTGAAAAAGTGACTGGTGATATGGTTTAATTTTTTAAAATATGGAGACTATAAAGCAAATCAAAAACCAACTTGGAGTGATACTTTAGAAAGTAAAAATAAAAAATATATTTATCTTTAGGTAAGATTATGAATTGAATAATAATAAATTCAAAGCAAATAAAATCTACAATTACTTTCAAATCACTGTTTCATCTAGAAAAAACAATATTTAGCCTCTAAAAAAATATAATCAATGCATATTCAATTTTTCTATAAGATTCATAGTGAGTTTTTAAGTGAAAAAAATGATTTTTTAAAATAATATATGTTGGTCTAAACTTTTATATATAGAAATTTTTTACAAATATATATTTTTGGTTATACCGAACATACTAATATATTTTTAATTTATTATTATATTACTAAATTATACCTAATTATAAATTATATAGTAGGAATCCACCATTAAATAATAAAGACAAAAATATGAATGATTAAATGTTTTTAAAATTTTGAATTCCATGTATTTTTGTAAAACACACATCCAGTCATGCTTATATTAATCAGTCACCTACATTAGCTTAATTTAGTCTCATCAAATTACTTTTTGGGCTAAATTAGGCAATTGAGATAATTCAATTTGAATTCAAAGGAAATTGAAACGGTAGCTTTTCTTTCCTTTGCCAATTGCGTGAAGCAAGGAACTGAAACTCTTCACTGAATGATGTCTACAGAGCTTTCACATTTGAAGTTGCTTCAATGGTGGTAGTGGTTCCGCATATTCGCACATTGAGTGCATGTTTAGCGTTGCTAGAATTTGATGTGGACGTGGATGTATACTGTAGACCTTTTGATGTGGATCATTTCCTTAAACATGAAGTGAAAAATAAGAGTATAGATCTTTTGCCAATTAATTTTTAAAAATGTTAAAAGTAGTACGTTACACCTTGTTTAAAAAATGGTTGTATTAAGTGCAACTTATTTGACCAAATTTGGGAGCTTGTTGTTTCATTCAGATTTTATCCACCATACATCCTGCGGAGTTGTACCACGTTTTCATCGCCGGATGATTTTTTGTCTTTACTTCATATTAAAAATTTCAGATTTTTTTCTTTTTTTTTGGCAGTCTAGTGATTTTAGGTTTAAGCCTAGAAAATAACTGATTGTGATACTATATACTTTCTCAAATTTATGTATATATTGTGATAGTCATCTTCAGTGCTAGCTACCGGGTCTGATTAAGATTCAGAGTAACCAGTCTTCCACAATGCCAATGGTACTTGGAGTGTTGTTACTTTACAGTCATCAGAAACATAGTCTCTTAGACTCTCTGGAATGATGTATGGAATCGATAATGATAATTAGCATGTGGAAGATAAGCACGTGAACATTTGGCATATTGAGATCAATGCTCTTATGGTAGATTTAAGATAGTTCAACTATATGGTGAATTCTGGAGGAAATCTACATGACCTACAATCAGATACATATCAGCTGAAATACAATAGCTATAGAGACAAGACAATGGCTCAAGAATAAGTCGGTGATCATTCGGGCGTCAATGCTCTTACGATAGACTTAAGATAGTTCAACTATATGGTGAAATCTGGAGGAAATCTACATGACCTACAATCAGATACATATCAGCTGAAAACAGTAGCTATAAAGACAAGACAAAGGCTCAAGTTGGTGATCATTTAGGCGTCAAAATGTGACTTAATTTAGATAATCTAAGTGCTGCTGTAAACAGTAGTCTAAATTATGCATGTCTATACTTATGTGAACCCAGATACAAGGAAAAGTATTAGTATATAAATGTACACTACATACAAACACAAGCAAACCATGCATGAATACGATAAAATATGATGAATCTGTACAAATTCAATGAGAAGTTTTAAATACAACCGGTTTTAAATAGTTTCTAAAGGCATTAGATTGAACGTATAAGCCAACATCATTGTTTGTTATAATCAATTGAAAAATTTATATTCTACAAATGTGTGCAAAACACTCAATCTCATATTTTATAATCTAAAAATTCAATGATATAAAACGTGAAAAGTAAATTATTCATAAAATTTTACATTTTTTTTCGAATGTAAATTTTTTTGAAATATAATATTTAAAAAGTAGTATGCTCTCTGATTGGATATGTAATAGATGTTGAAGAGATACAGTAAGATAGAATTTTGAATTTTAAGAGTTAAGAGAATCTATTTACATATTTAAAAATAGATCAAATTTAGCATTCAACCCAGTTTATTACAAAAAAATGCAATCAAATTTTTGCAAAAAAAATTACAAGTTTTCATTTTAATTTTTTTTTTCAAATTATGTGTATTATTATAAATGTACATACATAATTCTTGAAAAAATGCACAAAAATAATTTATAAGTAATTATGATTTAATTATCAAACTGATCGAACATCTCATTTGCAAAACTGATGTATGTATATATATATATATATAAAACATAAATTTCTTATTGTTTTTTATAACTTTCATAATACTGTTTTTACATTAAACATTGCATTCTTTTTTTAATCGAATTTAATTATGTGCATGATTCATATTTATATAAAGAAAACTAATTTGTGTTGAGTTTATTAAAAAACTAAACGATTGAAGAATATAAATTCAAAATATATTTCAATTTACATTTCATCAACACAAATCTGCATATTTGTACAGTCATCTTAGAAAACATGGATTTTGATATGGAATCTCAATATTAAAAATTTTGTGAGAATAAAAAATCAAAATCTTAAAATAAAGCATTTCACATAAAGTATTCTAAGTTTAATTTGGTTTCTTTCATATAAGGTGATCTTTTGTAACATTCAATATAAGTTGCACCAAATATATTGATTGCAATATATTTCGGAAATGATATTTATATGCGAATTATACCCAACAATATGAAAAAAATACTAATAATCATACAGATTTAGTTGAAAAACAAATTCAAAATTATATTGTATGACAACGTAACATTATTTTCATATTTAGATCACATGTTTTAAATAAAACAACCAGCTTTGTATGTAGAAATATTATTAATAATACGTTTTGAAGGTAAATCCGAGATTTTCGCAGTAGTAGAAAGTGAAAATTCACCAACAGTAACAAGGAAGGAATCATCAAAGACGAAACACGATATGTACATGGTTTAACCGAGTAGGGGAAAAACTTCACAATTATATAATAAAGTTTAAATAATAGGGTTTATATAGTGGTAGTAGGGGTCGGCCCGGCTTCGGCGGAGCCGGCTTTAGACCGGCTCGGCTACGACTTATGGCCAAACCACACTACCGGCACCGGCAAAAAATACTTGACTCTCATTGGCAGGCCGGTTGCCCCCCTTACCACACGGGAGAGAGCAGCAATTAGAAAAATCCTAGGTGGCAAAAAAAACTATCGCTCTGGAATACCATGCACTTCCGCCTGGAAACCCGATTTTTACGAAAACTCCAACTC